CCCCTTGCTGCCCAGCCCAGGGCGTGCCTGCCGCTCTGCGCTCCGCCTGTCCTCCGAGCGCCCTTCCTTGCGCTCCGCTTGTTCTCTGTGCTCTGCCTGCCTGTCCTCTGAGCCCCCCTTCCCATGCTCCGCCTGTTCGTCTGTCCTCTGAGCCCCCCTCCCCTGTGAGCCCCCATCCTCTGAGTCCTCTTCCCTGTGCTCTGCCTGTCCATCGAGCCTTCCATTCCCTGCACTCCCCTTGTCTGTCTGTCTTCTGAGCCCCCCATTCCCTGCACTCCACCTATCTACCAGTCTTCTGAGCTCCCTCCGTAAGCTCCATCTGTACATCTGTTGCCTGAGTCTGTCCTCTGAGCCCCCCTCCCCTGTGAGCCCCCATCCTCTGAGTCCTCTTCCCTGTGCTCTGCCTGTCCATCGAGCCTTCCATTCCCTGCACTCCCCTTGTCTGTCTGTCTTCTGAGCCCCCCATTCCCTGCACTCCACCTATCTACCAGTCTTCTGAGCTCCCTCCGTAAGCTCCATCTGTACATCTGTTGCCTGAGCCCCCTTTCTCTGCGTCCTGTCTGTCCTCTGAGCCCCACCATTCCTCCTGCCCTGCCTGTCTGTCTATCCTCTGCCCCCCTTTCTTGTGCTCCTTTGAGCCCCCCCCCCATTCCCTGCCCTTCACCTGCCTGTCTGTCCTCTGAGCCCCACTTTCCTATACTCCACCTGTTTGTGTGTCCTTTGTGACCTCTCCCATTCCCTGGGCTCAGTCTCTCTGCCCATTTTCTGCATCCCACCTGTCCTTCCCCTCTGCTCCTGTCTGTCCGTCCTCTGCCTGTCCCAAGTTATATGGGATCATGCCTATTCCATGTCTCCTGTCTATCCTTCCCCCTGACTGTCTGTGTCCTCCCATTTGTGTGTGGAACTATAGTATCTCTACCCATCTATTCCCTGTTTCATCCTATCTCTCTTGTAGGGCTCCATATCAAATCAGCCCACGTGTCTATCTATATTGGTGACCACATATCAGATTTTGGGGTCCCCTTTTGGGGTTCAGTAGCCACTTCAGGAGAGTAAATCATTGCATGTAAATCATTGTTTTGTTCATGTGTGTTATTTTGATCCTGTACAGTAGAAACAGCAGAACATATTATATCTGAAAATGATCTGAAGGAGGAAGATCCAGAAAACCCTCGTCAGGAGGAGTTGGCTGAGTCTGCCTCAGTTGGAACAGCAGAAGGAAGTATGTATGATCAGTAGATCTTGGAAGTAGCTTGAAGATTCATTGCTGGGGATAAGTATGTCAGGATGTTGCTTCATCTGGAATGGCATAAGTAAGGAAGATTGATTGTTATATCCTAAAGGAACATAAAACATGAAATAATTAATTAAAAGTAGTTTAAATTACTACACCAAACCTAGAATCTCTTTATTAACTTTTGTTTAATGCAGGGGTGGGCAACAATTTTTGATGGGGTACCATTCCAAGAATTTGGAAAGTGGTCAAGGGCTGCAATCTCCCATTTTAATGGAGGAGATGCAGGGTCTGAGATGGAGGTTGGGTTCAGAAGGAAGCTTGCAGCAAGGGATTGGTGTGCAGGAGAGGGTGTGGAGTCTGAGCGGGAGTTGGGGTGAAGGAGGTAGTTGTGATCTGGGTTAGGGGATGGTAGTTGTGACCTGGTTTAGGCTAGGTTTAGAGTGCAGGGGTTTGGATTATGACCTTGGGAAGGGGAGTAAGGTGCAGGAGGGGAGGAGGGGTTTGGGCTGTGACCTAGGGCAGGGCATGGGGCATAGGGGGCAGAGGGTTTAGGTTGTGATCTGAGGCAATGGATTGGAATGCAGGAGGGGGCAGAGGGTTTGGGTTGTGACCTGGTGCATGCTCTGGGAGGAGATATGGGAGCAGGAGCGGGAGGTAAAGGGGGGGGGTTGTGACTTGGGGCAGTGGGGACAGAGGGGTTGGAGTGCTAGAGGCAGGCTCTGGCTGGGAATCTTATCTATTTGACTCCCAGCCAGCTGTCTTCTAAAGCAGATTCCCTGCTTGCCCTGCCCCCACACTGGCTCTGCCCCTTTGAGGTCCTTGCCCCTTTGAGGTCCTTGTCAGCTCTCCTGCCCACATCTGAATGTCTACCTGCAATTTAGCTGACCTGAGCCCTTAAGAGTCAGTGCTGCAGGTTTATCACCATATAGACCAGGGATGTGCAATAATCTTTGATGGGGCGAGAAACACCAAGAATTTGGAAAGTGGTCAAGGGCCTCACTCTTCCATATCAATGGAGGAGGAGTGGGGTCTGGGATGGAGGTCGAGTGCAGAAGGGAGCTTGCAGAAAGGGACTGGAGTGCAGGAGAGAGTGTTGGATTTAGAAGGGAGTTTGGCTGAAGAAGGCAGTTGTGACCTGGAGCAGGGGACTAGAGTGCAGGGGTTTGGGTTGTGTCCTTGGGCAAGAGGGGGTTGTGACTTGAGACAGGGGACTGGAGTGCAGGAGGGGATGCAGGGGTTTGGGTTGTGACCTGGGGCAGCAGATTGGTGTGCAGGATCTGAGAGGGGATATGGGTGCAGGGGGAGGGGGCAGAGGGTTTGGGTTACATGGGGTGGGAAGCAAAGCATTGGGGTGCCAGAGGCAGGCTCTGGCTGGGAGACTTACATGCTTGACTCCCAGCCAGGAACCTTCTTAAGCAAACTCTCTGCCTTCCCTGCCCCCATACTGACTGCAGGGGACATGTGGTTTTTGAACAACTAGGAGCTGGGGTGGGGGGAGACGGGGTGCTTAGCAAACTATCTGTTGACAACAGGCAGCTCCTATTGTCTTGAAATTTGCCAATGGGATTGTGCTGGGGGCAGGAGCAGTGTGTGAAGGCTCACAGCTGTTCAAACAAAACTGCATAGCAGTTTTTCTCAGCAGTGTGTAGGGGGCAGGTCGGATCCAGCAGCTATTTTGCCCAGGCCTCGTTTAATGTTTTTTTTTTTAAATCACTGTTTCCTTTCTTGATCAGTGAAGGATCCGCTCAGACAAAACTACCTAACTGATTATGCACAAAGTATCGTCAGATGCACAAAGTAAACAGGGGAAAACTAACACTGCATAGCAGTTTTTCTCAGCAGTGTGTAGGGGGCAGGTCGGATCCAGCAGCTATTTTGCCCAGGCCTCGTTTAATGTTTTTTTTTTTAAATCACTGTTTCCTTTCTTGATCAGTGAAGGATCCGCTCAGACAAAACTACCTAACTGATTATGCACAAAGTATCGTCAGATGCACAAAGTAAACAGGGGAAAACTAACCATCACAAAATACTGCAACCAACTATAAACAAAGGGAGTCAAATGCACAAAGTTACCAAACAAAACTCAGATCTTTTTCTGTTTAATTTCAACTTTAGTAATAGTAGGTGTTACTTTCATCAATAATAGGTACAAACTTTCCAGATAGAAATGTGTGTTAACAATAAAATTGACAGTGTGGTATTAAACGCAAAGGCAGAGATGTACTCACACAAACAGTTTGGTTTAGAAGTGTTCTGTCTGGTGCATTATCTAGCCGAGGAATTTTCAAACTATTTTTGCTAGGCCCCCTTTGAAAATATTTCAGGCTGTGACAACCTCTACAAAAAGTGATCGCAGATTACTCATAGAAACATACTCAAGGCATGCCACCTTCACGTCTTCACTGTCTTCTGAGCTGTGTAACGAGAGTAACCTTTGCTGGCTGGCCACCAATCCCTTAAGGCTGTACTGCCAGCAGCAGCAGTACAGACATAAGGGTAGCATGGTATAGTATTGCTACCATTCTGTGCTGATGTTGGTGGTGGCACTGCCTTTGGAGATGGATGGTGGGAGAGCAGCAGCTGCTGTATCTCCCCTTCAGATCCCCTTTCCCTAAACAATATTGTGATTTAATGACTTCTCTACAATAGCCTGTGACCCCCCCTTTTGGGTCAGAATCCCTATATTGAGAAATGCCGGTCTATTTTATGTTAATTTGTGAAATTTAATTGAGAATTCCAACTAAACTAAGTCTATGCACTATATATATATATATATGTGTATATATAAGGAACCAGTGAAACTCTTGTTATAATATAGATTGAACCTCTCTGGTCTGGCAATATCCATTATCTAGCACAACAATAGATGTTGCTGGACCAGAGAGCTCCTGGCTTTTAGTCCAGGGGCTGGGAGTGGACGATGGGATTTGTGGCTGGGAGAGGAGCTGAGAAGCTGGGTGTGGGCCTGGCAGCAGAGCCAGTGTGGGAGCAGAGAGCCCAGCAGCTCAGGCCAGACCTGGCATCACAGCCCCAGCAGGGGCAGTGGAGCCCAGCTGCAGCCCTGCAAGGAGTGCAGTTGAGGCTCAACCCAGCATTGCAGTCCAGCTGAGGATGAGGAGCCTGGTGGACTGGGCCAGGGCCAGGGCCAGAGCCAGGGCTGGAACCAGCATTGCAGCTCTGCTGGGAGGGTGGAGTCTATAGTGGGGCCAGCATCTCAGCCTTGCTGGGTTGGTGGCCCGGGGGCAGGAAGCCAACGGCCAGGAGGGGAATCATTCTGGGAGCCAGGCCAGCAGTGGAACTGGGTGGAGGCTGGAGGGGAGCCTGGCCGGGTCTGCTCATGGACCTGGGAGAGCCAACTTGTATTGCTTGTTATGAAAATACTTCACTAAAAATGCTGGTATATTTTGGTGCAGTAGTTTAGATTGAGCTTTGTAATTTATGTGCAGAGGAACCCTTAATACAAAAGGTGAAGGATTCACATTGCAAGAAAAAGACTCTTTGGCTCTCTCTGCACTGGTATGCAGGGGTAATAGCACTCTTGTACTCCCTAGCACGCCTGTTACAGAAGACAGGTACAGTGTTTTAGTCTAACATTCCCTGAGAGGGACATTTAGAGTTACTGATACCATTCTTCATACCTTAAGGGTTACCAGTTTGATTGGCAATGTAGCCACTGTCATCCCCCTATGCATCTGTTAGCATCTGTAGAACATAAAGAAAACATGCTGCATCTTCTAAATGGATATAGCAAATGAAATATTATCTCAATGCCCTCAAAAGTATTATGGCAGTTTCTTTATTAGACACTAGAAGATTTACATGGCATACCTGGGGTCCCTGACTCAATTTTTGTTTTACTCTCTCAAATATACAGTAGATATGTTACAAGCTTTTGCCAACAGATGGCTCCTTACTTCAAAAAATAAGATCCCCATTGTTTGGGTCCTTCACTCAATTACTTTTTGTTTTTCTTCATTTAAATCATCACTCTGGGATGGGGATGGGTGTGCAATATGCAGGGCTCAGTATGCAGGCTGCCCCAGGGAGAGAGGATGACCCCAGCCCTCTCTCTATACAACACCTTATGCTCAAGTGAGAAGTGCCTCACTGTGACTGTTGCATCTCCAGCAGGCAGAGCCAGAGAAGAGGTGCATGTGCCCCAGCTGGGGAAGGTCCAGGTTCATCTGCCCCCTGCGCTTCCCAGCCAGAGTGAGGAATACAGCAAACTGCACTTTCCCCTGTCTCCCTAACGAAGTGGAGCAGCCAGCAATATCCTTGTACAAATCAGGGGAGGGGAAAGCATCTGCTCCTGCCTCTAAAGGGAGTCTGGGAAAGTGGGAGGCTGGAGCAGTCCCAGATGGGGGCAGGGGAGGAGGGAGGTGGAATCATGTCCCCAGCCAGGCCTGGTGATTCTCTTTTCTATGCATCCCTGTATGAATGGTGGGGAAAGCTGCAGCCTTTGGCCCTCTACCTCATTCTCCCTACAAGGTATCGGGGGTGGGGGTGGAGGGTGAGAGGCTCAGGACTGGAGAAGATAGATGGATAGGGGATTGCCCCCATCCCACCCCTTTCACCTGCCTGGTGATTCTGTCTCTGTATGGTCTTTTGCGAGGTAATCCCATTCCAGGCACATTCTATTTTTCTGGCACAACCAAACTCTTATGATAAGAGGAAGCTGCATACCAAATTTGGTGGCCCTAGCTTTTACTGTTTCATAGGAGTTATTGAACAGACATACTAATGCACCAACTCTTTCAAATATATAGTAGATAATATCTTCAGCCCCCACTGCGTGGGTGCTTCCCCTACAAATTCTACCTATGAAAACTAGGATTGAGCTACAGATGTTTGCTTAGAAAAATGCACCTTTGACTTTTGAAATGTGTTGGTCTGTTTGTTCATCACAATTCAACTTTAGGCATTAAGATTGTAAACCAACTGTAGCTACTAGTTAAAAGCAGCAGGGCACATGCACATTTAGGAATATATTGAAATCCTGTTCAGCAGAAATAGAATAGTATGAATCACAGAAATGTGTGATTAATGCATAGCTTGAATGGCTACTTTGTGCAAGACACCTGCAAAGATGTAATTTGTTTTTTGATTATTTATTTAATTTCAGAACTAAGTTTGATGGAGTTGGTTTTGAAAGATTGGAATAGATGAGCTTCTTGAATTTCCTCTTCTGTATATTTCTTTATTAGAGAGGGAGCGGAAGATTAAAGCATCCGTTTCAGAATTAGAACATACATCGCGCTTATCTGTTGTGTCTGGTTTGAGTGAACTAAACCAAGGCTTTTTGGGTGAAAGTAAAGAGCAGATATTCAAAGTAAGTCCATTGCATTTTATTTTTATTTTTTGAAGGGATTTGAAGGGGTTCTGTTTGAGATTCCCACTTTTAAATGTGTAAAGTTTCAATAAATCTTATTTAGAATTAAAGACGTAAAACTGCATATTGTGATCCTTAAGCACAACAAAATGGATTCTGAGCATATGATTTTCCATCTGAGACTGAATGTAACAGGATACACTCTCTCCATGAGGCTTCCTTATGGTTGTGACTGGGAACTATCTCTCTGTCACCCCTTTCCTTAGTTGTTCCAAACCCCATCTCACTTGGCCCTCTGGCCAGGTCACTATATAGTTTTCCCTTTCTTGGTAATAGAGCAAGACCAGGAACTAAAATGGTGACAGTTCACCAAGGTTAGCCCCTGGTGGGTCGCTGCTGCTATATTTTCAGGCACCTCTTAAGGTACATTGGCCGGGAATGGTGATCCACGTCCAGTGGGAGCTGTGATCCCCTATATTTGTAGAGGCATAGGTAAATACAGCCATTTGTGTGGGACTAACTCTGTCAGACCATATCCAGCCCAGAAGCTGGTGTTTGCTCAGCCTTGTAATAAAATCTCATTAGACCAGTTGTCCAGGTACCATTGAAGGCAGTCTTCCTATTCAAGAATGTGCCACTTTCTCATTGTTTGGTAGCAGACTCCAGGTTCAGCTGCTACTCCAAGTTCCAGCCTTACCATCAGCAGCCAAAGTCTGCATGGTTTCAACACTTGCTGCTGTTTCCCTGTGCTTCTTTCTCTATCTCCCTCTGGGGAAAAAAACTTCTCTCAGGGTCTGTTTCTGCTTCCCCACTGGTTTTCCTTCTTCTCTCCACACTAAGTATTGAACAGGCAAAGTTGAATTATAGGGATGTTTCACTGTTCTTAAAGTATCAGGCACAGGCCACTGCCAGAGGCCTGATACTGGACACCTCAGTGAGAAGTGTTCACTCTACACCATCCCTGAAGAAGTTTAGGTGGCTCAGAAGTAGCTAATTAACCTAACAAGCTGCACCTGGAGAAGGACTTAGGCCTCACTGACAAGAACTAATTGAAGATGGAGGAAATCTGAGCAGGTGTAGGAAAAGACTCATATAAAGCCAGAAAGTGAGAGTGGAAGGGGGCTGTAGTTATTCTTTGGACCTACAAAATACATCAATAGGTTGTTTGTGTGCCACATCCTACAGTACCAACTTGCAGGTTTATTTGTACCAAACCACCAGCAAAGTTCACTATTCATTACAGGTTGAACCTTTCTAGTCTCGCACCTGCAGGACCAGACCAGCGTTGAACCAGAGAATTTGCTGAATCACAGGAGGTCAATAGTATCTAGCAGCATTACAAACACTTCAGTTTCTTACTGGGCTTTTAGAAGACATTTAGGTGGTAAATTAGAGCTAAATAACAGCACAGAACACTGAGGTCCAGGACTGGTGGTTATAAACAAACTTTATGGGATTGCGGGAAACTTGGCTGCACTCATATATACACATCTGACTAACTAACACCATGCTGGACCACAGATGTTGCCGGACCAGAGAGTGCCAGATTAGAGAGGTTCAATTCGTAGAATCGACAAGTAATAATACACTGTGAAGTAAGTGAGGAAGGACACTGGTCTCTTGGCCACAGGTTACTTGTCACTTACTGATCACCTAAGGATGCATGCTAACAGGGCTCTTGCCTCTTAGAGGCTGTCAAGCTATAGTCATTTAGTTAATATAATTGTATGAACAGTGTCTTTTTTTTTTTTTTTAAACCTCAGTCTTTTCTCCTTCCACTTGAGTAGCTGGATGTGTATTTGTGTATTCCTTTGAGGCTGCCATCAATAGCATTGGGATCTGTAGCTCTCTGATTTGAAATCTACAGAGCACTTTTCTAGATGCTTCCATAGGACTGGGAAGCAAAAATTTAGAAGTTGTTCCCAAAACTGAATATTTGTACTATCTGATGTGTGATTTTTTTTTTTAAAACTTTGTTTTTGTGTTAGTGATTTGTGTCACAATAGCATAAACATATTGCAGTGGATGGAATTGATTCTGTCCTGCTGCTGGTAACTAACAACTGGAAGTCTGTTACAGAAGTATACTTGATTAAATTCATTACCATATTTCTTATGTTTCAGACCATAAAACAGACCGTTTACAATCTATATTTTCATGTGGCTTTTAATGACATTTCTGAAGAATTTGTTAATGATGATATTATGTTCTTTCTCCGAGATACAAGAGGTAATTTCTGGATAAATTATGACTGAACATTTTAGTTCAGTGTTTTAGAAAGTATTTTAGACTAAGAAATGATGATGACTGGGATTTATGATAATGTGCTGAGTAGACAGGTTTGATGTCAGAATAGGCCTGGGAGCCAGAAACCTCTGAGTTTTAATCTGGCTTGAGCATCCACCTTATGGAAAGTCACCTAAACTATCTGCCTTCATTTCCTTATTTTACAGATGGCATTAAGATTTGCATGCCCCTCTGAGAGGAAATACTGAGGTTTAATTATTTAATGTTTGTAAAAAGCTTTGAAGATGAAAAGTTATACATGATGCTAGGCAGCAGGGTGAGGATGAAGATAACTGAGCTATACTTTATTGCCCATACCAGTCATATGGATAAGGTTACTGATATACAGTACTACTGTATAAAACACAAATCTTGTTTTAACATTAAATAATTTTTCCTGAAAATAGTGACCATGTCTACTACAAGCTACTGTAACCAAAAATGTTTTTCAGTTTTCATTTTTCTTCCAAAATTTGACACAAATTTGCAGGACATTTGACAAAAATATTTTTTAATATTTCTACCAAAAATAATTGTCAGGTTTTTTACTAGTTCTGTGCAAGATTTTGCCATTCCTTCTGAACAGTGATAAGCTGGAAATTAAAATGGTATCTCCAGGGTGATAAAAGAAAGAATCACCATTAAGCCATCAAGATGGCATATGGAAACTTATAGTACAATGATCCATCTGATTTCCTTTTGCATGCTTATAATTTTTGTGAGAACATTGGGGAGTCCAGACATATTTCAGTTATGAGTGGCTGGGTGAATTGGCTTATGTCAGATCCAGTTTACTGGCACATATATTTTACTTTTTAGAGTTTTTAACATTTAATTTCTCCTTATTCTGGAACACATCAGCATTTTTTTAATTACTGTTTTCTGTACCAAATAGCTAAATTTAACACTTATTATTTATTTATGTCTAGAAACAGTTACTGAACCTAATGATATGAATGAAGCTAATGAAACTCTGCCTGAATTGCTAGAATGTGGCATCCTGAATGGTCACACTCTTTTGATGCTGAAACATATTTTCTCACAGGTAAACGTGTTACTATTTTGCATATGAACCCTGAAGTTTTTGTTTGTGTCTAATGTTCCATTTTAGTAGTGGGTTGATATTTCCAGAATACAGTAAATCATTGTGGGCACTCTGTGGCCCATTCGGGCTCTATCTGTGACTCATGAGACATTTTATTTACTGTTACCCGAGCACCGGGTTTACAGGTTCTGCTGGGTTTTTTGGGGGGGGTGTCATTTTTTTTGTACCAGTATTACTAAAGGGACATATTGGAAGAGCCGTATGCTCCTTCTGCATCCAGCTAGATTGCCACATCCTGCAAATTCTAGGTACAAGTGCAGTTAGCAAAACTACCTTATCCCAGGAGACTGTCTTGGTTACGACAATCTTGTGTCCCACTGAAATGATGGAGGGCCACTCATGTCATCCACTCACTAACCTAAGTTGCCCCTCACTGCAATAAATACTAATAATTGCTGAGCTACTCTGATTTACCCATTTGACATTTATGTATAATATAAATTATCTCTCCACATACTTCCCCCCATGTGTATAGGGAAGAGTGTGGAGAGAGCTGATATTTGATCTCATTGCATGTTACAAGTGTGGGAAAGTCTTAGAATGTAATAACAGATGCTCTTATTTATATACACGACTTAGATAAGATTGAAGGAAGCTTTCAGATAGGGTGTGAGGACAGAATAAGAAAGTATGAGACTCATATTACTCCATAAGAGTTGAGAGAATAAGGGGATAAAATGAATTAGCCATAGGCAATAGATGCAAAGGTTTTTTAAATTAATAGTTCAAAATTTGACTGGATGTTGATTTTTTCAAAATCACGAACAATCTAATTTGTGGTACATGTTTATGTTTCAGGTTTTTTTGCCTGCTTTGTCCCATAATCAGCAAAAAGCTGAGGGGTCTGCCTTTCATCCAGACACTGAAAAGTCAGATGCTGAAGACAAGCATTTAACTGAAGCTGAACCTCTTGAAAAAAAGAAAGAGCAATCTGTGGAATTTCACAGTTTTCATATTATAAGGAATGAGTTCTTAATGAATATGCAGAAATTTCTAAGTCATATTCAAAGGACGATACAACAGATTGAAGGCAAGTGTCCCCCTCTACCTACTCTAATACTTATATTACACTCCAAGTCATCTGATGAAGTGGGCTCTACCCACAAAAGCTCCTCATTCCACGAGGAGTAACGGTAGTTCGAACTAGGAAGCTTAGTTCGAACTACCTGGTTCATGCCGCGTGTAGCCGCGCGGCACGGGGTTCGAACCAGCGGGGATTTAAAAATGGCGGCGCCCCGCTTATGCAAATGAAGCCCGGGAAATTCAAATCCCGGGCTTCATTTGCAATTGCGGTATGCCTACATTACCCCACTAGTTCGAACTAGCGGGGTAGTGTAGACATACCCTTAGTCTCTGAAATGCCACAGGACTGCTTGTTGATTTTACAGTTACAGACTAAAATGGCTATCCCTCTGAGTCTTCATTATGTGTCAGTAGACTTCATTCAGGTGTGGCTTTGTTTCAAATTGTGATACTCAACCTGTGGTTTTGAAATTGCACACAAATTGGAGTCTCCAGTTTTGATCAGAGGTTCTCTTCTGTGACCAGGAGAGCATTACATTCAGCTTTTTCCATATGAGAGAGCCTAGAGCAAATGGACCAGATCTGTAAATAAAATCTTGCCAAGCAGTCAGGAAGTGGAGTGGGAGAAGGACTACACTCACCAAAGGAGCACAGAAATATAGGAATTGCCTATTGGCTTTTGGTTTCTTCAGTCTAGAATCCTGACTCTTACAATAGTCATTACCAGATGCTTCAGCGGAAGATACAAGAATGCCAGAAAAGGCATATGTGGGATAATCTGCCCCAGTGATGTCTTAGTCTAACTCCTACTAGGCTTGAATCTCTTTAATTTTGCAACTCTGGGAAATTGGGGAAGGCTGGATTAAAGATTTTCCTGGGACAGGGAGGGTGCTATGGGGTTTGGATATAAGGGGGTAGGAGTGTGCTTAGGTCCACACATGGATCCATGCTCCCTGCTGCTCCCAGGCACTGCTCCCTGCTGCTATAGAAGCAATGGGGAAGAGCATCAGGGGAAGTGCAGGCCACCATCAGGGTGGAGGCAAAAGGGGCAACTGCCCTCGGGCCTGGCAATTCAAAGGAGTCTGGGGCTCCCTGGCCCTTTAAATCACCATTGGAGTGTCATGCTGCATGCTCCATGTGGCTCTGATGGCTGGCAGGAGGGCAATGCCACGCTCTTGGTGGTGCAAAGGGCTGCCTGCCTTGGCTATGCCCTTTCCACCTGAGGCATTGCTCTTTCTAGAAGTGTGGAGCGGGCCTCCTCCAACTTGCTCAGGGGCCTGTGGAGAAAGGAAAGGGAGCAGCAGCGCACAAAGTCTATACCATGGGTGTTCAGTTGGAGTATATGGCGGTTCAATTGTAGTTAGAGAGAGAGTCTTAAACCCTGAAACCTGAGGCAGGTGGTTTACACTTCAAAAATCTTTGCATACATTAAATATGATGATTCTGAAAAAGTTGAAAACTTTTGGCCCAATAACTGAAATAGAATGAGCAGGTTTACTAGCTATCCTCAGATAAATATCTCAATGGAAGTTTTGTGCCTTTCTCTTTTGTATTATTCAAATGATGTTGATGAAACACATGAAGCAAATAAAATAGCTAAATGAATCTAACTGCATTTTGTTCCAACAGGAGAAATTAAATTGGAGATGCCCACTATAAATCTAGATGCAGAAGTGAGTGAACTTGCCACAGATCCAGAAGTGGTTGAAACATTAGAGCACTGTGGAATGACCTGGATAACGTTAATATCCACAGCTGTTGAAGAACAACTCAGAAAGATCCCACAGGTAGCATTGCTAATGACTGCTCAGCATGCTAAATCTGATCTTTCCATTACTGGTTTGTGTTCAGTGTTATCCTCTGATTGATCCAAAGAGAGGGGGTTCCCATCTGCTACCTAATATACAGAAGAACAAAGGTAATGGGAAACTACATGTTTTCTGAGTAATGAAGTCTAAAGCAACTCACTTCCAAATTGTCAGTTCAAAGTGCAAACCCTGCAAATTGTTAGTTATTTAAAGTTGTTTCCAATTAATGGTTATTCAGTACTTTGTGTAAAATGAATGTGGTTGTCTCAGCCCAGCTTTTAATGATCAAGTGTCCTATAGGTGCTGACTCCAGGGGTGCACTGGGAAGCACCTCACTGGAGCACACACAAGGAAAAATAAGGGATGTGAAGCATCCGCCAGTGCCAAGCTGTCCCCTATGTACCTCTCCCCATGCATCTCATATACTGGTGGTCCAGCACTGACCAACTGCTCTCCCTCCCTCCCTGTGATTCTGGAGCACTGCAAACAGCTGATTCATCGCATTCAAGCTCTAGAAGGGAGGGAGGTGGAGGAGCAGGGCATGGTCGGGTGAAGGGGTGGGGTGGAACAGGGGTGAAAAGAGCAGGGAAGGGACTTTGGGAAGAGGTGGACTAAGGAACAGGGCCTGAAGCAGGGGTGGGTCAAGCACACCCTGGCAATATGAGAAGTCCGTGCCTATGAAGTGTCCACATCACAAAAGTTAGCATACAGTTGGCTTTAATGGCTATTTTTCTTGGCAGTCTCTGCAGAGAGTCAAAATACTAAATGAGTCTGAAGACTGACATTTCCTTTACTAAGGGTGGGCTCAAAGAGAAGGAGCAAGGCAGCATGTGGAAGGAAGTTTGCTGCAACTGCCTAATCTGAGGCTAGAGGACTTTAGTGTCCTAGGATGAGTTTCCTTCCACTAGAACTAACTTCATAGAGAATCATAGAATAGAAAAGTAAGGCAGAAAGGGACCTCAAGAAGTCATCTAGTTCAGAACCCTGCATGGAGACAGGGCCAAATAAATCTAGACTATCCCTCACAGTTGTTTATCTAATTTGTTCTTTAAAAGGTCTTGTGATGGGAATTCCACAGCTTTCCTTGGAAACTATTCCAATATTTACCTATCCTAGGGCAAATCTACATTATGAAGTAAGGTAGACTGTAATATGGTTCATGTTTTATCCTCTGATTTTGCAATTTGAAGATCCGTGTCCTCACTAGGGGAAAGAATGGCATGTAGTCTGAAGTAGTGTGTTCCTATTATGGAGCCTGCCGTCAGACTCAGAGGGTGATGCACTGTGGGTAGCTTTGCATTCTGGGCTATGCTCCTGGTGTCCTCTGGGACCAAAATTGTTTAACGATTTATTACACAGCCAGCCTCCCATAATGCACTCATCTACTCCCTTCTCCCCCCCCAAGAGATAAAGGGAGGGCGGCAGTGTGATCGTGTCTTTTTGTGCCCTTGTTGCCCACGCAGCTGCCAGAGCAGCACGAGCAAGGAGCCCAGTTTGCAGTAAATCATTGTGATGCTCATGTATGTCATGATGCACCTAATGACATAGTATATGGAGAAAGTACACATGTTGCCCAACCTGGAAGAGGGCAAGGACGGATCTCGGCATGGCATGGAAGTGCTGTTCATGCATTGTCCGGTGCTGATGCTAGCGCAGCCACCAGTCAATTCTGTGGACATAGTGTAACACCGGTTCTGGTTTTGAGACAAGCTCAGACTAGTGGGACTGCACTGTGATGCAAAGGTAGGACAATCAGCAAGTGGCTGCAGAACTTCAGAATGCACAAGGTCCATTCTTGGAACTTTATGAATGGCTTTCCCCTATGCTGAGGTGCCAGAATACCCACATGAGACCTGCTCTGACTATGGAGAAGTGCGTGGCAATTGCTCTATGGAAGTTTGCAATGCCAAACAGCTACTGTGGGGAATCAGGTTGCAATGGGGAAATCAACAGTGGGGGCTGCTGTTATACAAATAGCCACAGAAATTAATAACATTCTGCTACAGAGGGTTGTGATTCTGGGGAATGTGGATACCATAGTGGATGGCTTTGCCACAATGAGGTTTCCTAATTACAGTGGGGCTATAGACTGGGGTGGGCAATAATTTTTGATGGGGGGGCCACTCCAAGATTTTGGAAAGTGGTCGAGGGCTGCACTCTTCCATGATATTAATGGAGAAGGTGCAGGGTCTGGGATGGAGGTTGGGTGCAGGAGGGAGCTTGGAGTAGCGGATTTGAGTGCAGGAGGGCCTGTGAGGTCTGAGAGAGAGTTTGAGTGAAGGAAGCAGTTGTGATTGGGATGCAGGGGTTTGGGTTGTGACCTAGAGCAGGAGAGGGTTGTGACCTGGGGCAGGGGACTGGGATACAAGAGGTGGTGCATGGGTTTGGGTAGTGATTTAGGTCAGGAGATTACAGTGCAGGGATTTGGATTGTGACCTTGGGCAGGAGGGGATTGTGATCTGAGATAAGGGATTGGGGTTCAGGGTTTGGAAGGGGGTATGGGTGTAAGAGGGGGGCAGAGGGTTTAGGTTATGTGAGGTAGGAGGGTAACAGCAGTCCAGAGTTTTTAGGCCATATGCTCTGTGCATAAGAGCCTGGATGGTGCGGGGAGTAGTGTGCTTCTGCTTGTACTTCCTAGGGGCAGGAACAGTGTATGAAGCACCACTCCCCTTTTCACAGCTCACAGTTTGTGAAATAGAAATGTCTCTGCTGCCTCTTTTCTGAGTGGCATGTGGGGGCGGGGGAAGCAGGAGGGGCTGCCGGAGGCTCCCTGCTGTGTCTGCAAGCCGGATCTGGTGGCTGGGTGGGTCAGATCCAGCCTGCGGAGGATGTTTTGCCCAGGCCTGCCATAGACGGAACACGCATCCCCACCCTTACCTCAACCACCTTGCCTCAGAGTACATCAATTGCAAGAGGTATTTCTCCATGGTGCTGCAGGTGTGGTGGATCACAAGGGCCATTTCACTGACATCAACATGGGATGGTTGGGAAAGGCACATGATGCCCACATAGGTGGAAAAGTCTATTGTGATCTTTAGCCACCCTGTAGGAGGAGTTCAGTAATAGGCTGAGCAAGTTCATAATGGTAGTTGAATGTGCTTTTGGAAATTTAAAGGGTATTTTAGTAGTCTCCTGACTCGGTTGGATCTCAGTGAATGCAACATTCCCTTTGTGTTGGCAGCTTGTCGTGTGCTTCATAATCTGGCAAGGACAAGGGGGAAACTTTTCTGGCAGGGTGGGGAGCTGAGGCAGAGTGCCTAGGTAGAGAGTTTGAGCAGCTAGACACCAGTGCCATAAGGAGAGCAAGGCAAGGGGCAGCACAAATCAGAGATGTCTTGAAGGACATTTTATGCATGGTCAGGTTTGAGACTTCCCCATGGCTCTCAACAGCCTGCCCCTGCATTCCCTGTGTTTGACTTTAATCCCCCACCCCATTGCACTGCTGCAGTACAAGCTATAAAGAGACCATTGTGCAAAGAACAGGAGTTTTTGTTTGGGGAAGATAGCAAGGAAAGGAAAGAAGTGGGAATCTGAAGGGTCGAGGAGGGCTCAGGAATGCAAGTGGAACTGCCTTCTGCTCCTGAGACCTTGGAGGGTAAGGCTGCCCTTGAGTAAAACTCCCCGGCTGTGTCTAGACTGGCAAGTTTTTCCGCAAAATCAAATGATTTTGCGGAAAAACTTGCTAGCTGTCTACATTGGCCGCTTGAATTTCCGGAAAAGCACTGACGATCTCATGTAAATCATCAGTGCTTTTCCGGAAATACTATGCTGCTCCTGTTCAGGCAAAAGTCTTTTTCCGAAAGACTTTTGCACAAAAGGGCCAGTGTAGACAGCATAGTACTGTTTTCCGCAAAAAAGTCCCAATCGCGAAAATGGTGATCGGTTTTTTTTTGCGGAAAACTGTGTCTAGATTGGCCACGGATGCTTTTCCGCAAAAAGTGCTTTTGCGGAAAAGCATCCTGCCAATCTAGACACGATTTTTCTGAAAATGCTTTTAATGGAAAACTTTTCCGTTAAAAGCATTTTCGGAAAGTTATGCTAGTGTAGACGTAGCCCCCATGTGCTGGGACCCCAGCGGCCTCTGGATGCTTTGGGAGTAGAAGCAACAGAACTGGGGGAAGAGGGATCAGGAGGTATCATGAGGGTGGCCAGTTTTCTGGGAGTATGCTCTTTCTAGACACAAAGCCAGGTGCTTCATCACAGGCATTGGGAGGCAAACATTATCTTGTGCTGTCTGGCCTGCTGCTCCCTGTTGGCCCTTCTCTTCTGGCATTCTGTGATCTGGTCCAGGTGCTCTGCCTATATTGCCTCCAAAAGGGAGTGAATACAGTCCATCTGCTCCAGGAACATTTCCTCCTTTATCTGTGTTTGCTTGCAGATCAGATGCTGTCAGAAGTGGGAGTACACTGAGAGCTGGCTACTGTCTCTGCTGCAAAGAAAGGCAGACAATAGCAGACATTACAGGAGATATATTGTGTTAAGCCTAACCCTAATCTGTTAATGTATGCTCAAGGTTTCTGTAAACATAATGGAGATGTGTTCTATGCAAGGCTAAATGTTTGCTTTAAAGTGGGCACTTTACAGTAGGTATCAGTTTCCTCAGGGGGAACATTGGGATGCACTGGATCTGGAGGTAGGCAGGCATGGTTAGGGCCAGCCAGGGCAGGAGCCTGTGGGTGGGAAGTGGAGGCAGGAGAGGGCGGCTTCATGTGACTTTGCAGGGATACTTACTGGTGGCTTGGCATGGGGAAAATATCCTATGGTGGAGGATGGAATAAAGCTGACCACCCCAAAAGCCTTGTAAGAAAGTTTAAAGAGGTCCTAAGTGAGAGCTTCATGAAGACTCCCACTCCATCTGCAGACACATTAATAAGCTGTTCTGCGACCCCCTAGGCTCTGTAGGCAGAGAAAGGTGCACTGCACCTCACAGCCCATTGCCTTACCCTACCTGTAGTTAGAAAAAGTTTGTGAATTCACTGGAAGTACCTTCCCCGGGTTCGGTGCTGGACTGGGAGATATCTTAGAAGAATGGGACTGGCTCCAACATCATGACCAGTTTGTGGCTCTTAGGGATTGCTGGCTGGCTCATCTCTTTCTCTTTCTCTGGCATACTGACACCAGACGAGTCTTGGCCAGACTCCATGATCACGCTGGAAAGCTGGCTGGGCACTCCCCCAAAATCATGCCAATTGCTTGTAATAGCTATACATGTGAGGTGCTCCCTCAGAACATCTGCTCACCTCCTTCACCTTATGGTAGGAGTGCCTCAGTTCCTTGATTTTTACTTGATGTTACTGGGCATCCCTGGAATGTCCTTTAGCCCCCCAGACAACCTGCCATCTTGCCATAACTGTTGGCATTCCTCTTGTTGATTTGGAACTTGGAGAGGAAGGAATCAACTCCTCATGCCTCATTGAGGTCCAAGATCTCCTGGACACTCCATGCTAGCACTCTTCTGTGCCCCTGGGAACTGGAGCCTGTGGGAGCAGAAGTATTCACACTCATTGCAGTGTTAGTAGGATAGTTCGAAGTCATCTCCATGTGTGCCACGATGTGCTGCTCACTCCAAATCAGTGTTTCACAACCTTTTTTTTTTTTAATAAAGTACCCCCTTTAAAAAAAAATTGTAAGTACCCCAGTACCTACAGTTTTCAGATGCAATGGTATAAAAAACAAGTGTAACACACATTTTTTTAAACAACTTAATCGTAGCCAGGTGGGCGATGAAATGTTTTGGTATAAAAAGTACAAAAACAATAAAACTCTCTGTAAAACTTAAAACAAAAATTCAGTTTTTTCCAAATTTCAGTTGTGTTGACATACCCCCCCCAGACTTATTTCGAGTACCCCTAAGGGTACTTGTACCACTGCTTAAGAAACACTACTCTGAATGGGCTTGCCACACTGGGTTCATGGGAAATGCCATACTGATTTACCTGGGGCTTTTTGAGCTCATCAGGAGAGCAGTAGTGGTGCAGGTTGTGGTCAGAGCGGTGAAATGTGGTAGGGCTCCCGAATGCCAATAGTCTTGACTTTCGCCCAGTACTGTGTCTACGCTATCATAAATTCAACCATGCAATGTCTAGAATTCAGTACTGCTTTTCAGAAGTAATACTAATCAACTACAGCGGCCCCTAAGGGCGGCACAGCAGGCTTGATAGTGTGGGTGCATTACTTAGAAAATTGACCATATGTGGCTAAATTTGATGTGACGTTCTAGTGTAGACCAGACCCTAGAAAGCTTTTTCTAATACCTAGTCTAAATCTCCCTTGCAGCAGATTAAGCTGATTACGTCTTCTTTGGTAGGCATGGTTAAAAGTTGATCACGATCCTCTTTATAACATTCCTTAGCATATTTGAAGATTTGTTTTCAGGTTTTCCTTCAGTCTTTTTTTTTTCTCAAGATTAAATTTGCCCTTTTTTTGGGGGGGGGGACGTATCTTCATAAAAAAGGTTTTCTAAACCTCTTAACATTTTAGTTGCTCTACTTTAAACTCTCTAATTGTCCACATCTTTCTTAAAATGTGGTGCCCAAATCTGGATACATTATTCACTTCTGCTGTGTAGAGTATAATGACTCACATACAGAACACCTATTAATACACCTTAGCATGATATTAGCTATTTCAGTGTTCAGTTTAATTTTCAGTTTTCAATTCATTCTACTTGTGATCTGCTATACCTCCCAGATTCTTTTCTTAGTACTCTTATTGTACATTTTGTATTTGCCAGAAATGAGTTAGAAAAAAAAAGAAGAAGAAATTCTTTATCTTCAGCTTCTAAATCTTCAGCAATATAAACTTGGATAAGGGAGTGTACATTTTAAAAATTATCATTGTTAATGGTCTCCCTATTAGACAAATCAATGTGGCAAACATTATATAATGTTAAAAACAGCAGTGACATTTTGTTCTAATTTAGCACTTACTTATCCCTGAAATCTTCATGAATATTCAAAAACTCCACTGTAAGAACCTAATTCTGCAAATAGTTTCACACTCATTTATGGAAATGAGTGATCCCATTAAAAGCAACCTGACTACTCATATCTATAAAGTTATTCATATGCAGAAGTGTTTGCAGAGTTGTGTCCTAACGACCCATTCCTGAAAATAGTTCTGTATGACAGACCCCACTTCAGGGGTCTGCTTGTACAAATTGAACTTCTCTAATCCAGCACCCTCAGGATCTAACCAATGCCAAACCAGAGAATTTGCCAAACTATAGGTCAGTATTGTCTAGCACCATTACCAATACTTCTACTACTTACTGGGCTCTTAGAAGACATTTAGCTAGATTATATTAGCGCTAAACAACAGCACAGAACACTGAGAGCCAAGACTGGCGACTATAAATAAACTTTCTGGGACTGTGGGAAACTTGGCCACACGCATGATAAGTGTATATCCGGCTTACTGAAATTATGCTGGACCAGACAGTGCTGGACTAAAGAGATTCAACCTGATGATTGAAGCCTAAATGGCAAACATTTCTTCCTCAATGTTGTAGAAATATTTTATGGTCGTATTATGTATGTGTAACCATATAGATACCTTTATTGATGTAGCCTTGTTTAGTGCACTGAATATGTTGCACATAAAAGCTTAAGAAATGTTACCATGTGTGACGTAGTGGGGGTACTTGCTGGGCTGTGGTGACCTCTGCTGTCTGGAGCAAGACCCAGCAGGGAAAACCTCATTATGCAAAGGTGACTCAAAAACATGTCTGACCTGCGGCCCCCCATGGGGAGAAACAAAGGGAGGTGGAATGCTGCCCTGGCTGTGGGCAGGGCTGAAAGAGGGGGGGTTAGTTCCTGGCTGGAAGGCAGGGAAGAAGGAGCTTGGGAGGAGGGCTGGGACTCCCCTTTCTCAAGGGGGGCACTGAGGCCTCTTAGCCCCAGTTCCTGTAACCAGATTACATCTGTGCTGCACTGTGCTGGAGGAACAATAAACAACCTCCATTCTACTGGCTGGTGAAGTCTGTTCATGCCAATTCGGGGGTGCAGGAGATGGGAAAATCCCGACGCGCCGTCACACCATGTTATAATTTCCCCCAGTCATAAAGAGAATTCTAATGCCTTTTCTTTGACCTCTCATTTTCAGGGTAATGGTCCACTAGCTGAAATTGATCTGTGGCGTGAAAGAAATGCTACCTTAAGTGCTCTCACTGAACAGATAAAGCTCCCATTAGTGAAAAAAGTATTAGCAATACTAAAGGAATCTGAATCTGGACTTCTTGAAAATTTGCAGATAGTCATAACTGATCTTAGCAGGCACCATGTGGAAGCTGTAGATAATGTTAGGTTTCTTTCAACGCTGGAGCGCCATTTGAAGGTTTGTTTATCTAATGATACTTTGGAAAGATTTGCCAGTGTTTAATTCAGTCATATCTTTCTTTTGATTTACCCCCAGTTGTTCTTTTCATTTTCCCTCTCATTCTTTTATCAGTAATAATAATGTACCGTGATTGGCTTAGATAGTAATAAAGAAAAAAAATGTGTGTTTACCTTCTCTTCCTAAGTGAAAAGTTGTTTGGATTGTAGTGGTCAACAGAGAGGAGAGTGTATTCCATCTCATAGATAAATGATTTGTAATCTTTTTAGGAAATTGTACAAGTTTACTGAATTAATGCCGGATTTACCTCTCCTTGACAATGGGAGTTGGATCAGGATCCTAAGATCTTGGCTGAGTCATCTACTACATGCCAACTCTCATTCATTTTGTGTCCACTAGACTTTGAAGGAATGTGGGCTATTTCACATTCCAGTTTTGAAAACCATTTTAATGGGAGCATGGGCAGTTGGTGAAGCTTTCTCTTGGGGAGGCAGTAGCTTCCCAGCCCAGGCCCCACCCACCTGTCCCCTTCCCACTGTCTCTGTCTTCTCTACCTTACACATCCTATGTCTCTGCTCACTATGTGCTTATCCCCATCCAGTCAAATCTCAGAGCCCAAGTAAATTATTTCTGGAAAAAACCTCCACTTTTCTGCAATTTCTTTCTCAACAAAATGGAGCATGTTTTGTACCATGTGCTAGACCCGCAGAAGGCACCTAATTAACAGCACTAAACTTGGGAATAAGAAATGTCAGTCACAGGTTTATTATATACCCTTATAGCTGACATACAGGTAGTTTGCAAATGCTCTAAACTCCTCTCATTGATCCTGGGGGAACACAGAATGGAAAGCACGAGTTAAAGCTGAGAAATCACTGTCCTTTCTTCATACATTCAAACAAGGTGCCAAATGCCTCAGCTGGCATTTGCTCCCTAACAGGAAGAAAATGACTAGAATCAGACTGTAAAAGTTGCCACCTCATTTTCACTCTTCACACAAACAAGTTTTAAGGGCTTCCTGTGTTGATTGTTTCAACAGCAGTAAGCATCTCAGACAATGAATAAGAATTACAAAAGGATGTGTCAGTAAAATACAGGCTGGCTGCTGCTTTAACAACAACAGGGTTTTGTTTAGTTTAGAAAAGAGAAGATTGAGGGGGGACATGATAGCAGTTTTCAGACATCTAAAAGGGTATCACAAGGAGGAGGGAGAAAACTTGTTCATCTTGGGCTTAAACTGCAGCAAGGGAGGTTTAGGTTGGACATTAGGAAAAAGTTCTTAACTGTCAGGGTGGTCAAACACTGAAATAAATTGCCCAGGGAGGTTGTGGAATCCCCATCTCTGGAGATATTTAAGAATAGGTTAGATAAATGTCTCAAGGTCCCTTCCAGTCCTAGTATTGTATGAACAGGACCCATTCAGCTCACAGAACCAAGAAAGTAAAATGTCCCACTGAGGCAGCATGATGGTGACAGCTTTATGTATTAAATTGTTAGATCAAATATCCCCCAGGGTGAAGGAATCCAATCCCCTGCCCTGTTCTCACCAGGCAAACATAATCTCCCAACCACTTAAGAGTTGAGACCTATCCTACCAGTAACTTCTCTCTTTCTTGCCACCTCTGTCTCCCTCTTTCTTCCCTCCACACCCCTTTCTCCTCAGGCTCCCACTACTCAAGATCACTGTCCTTCCCAACCAAGTGCTCCCCCTGCTCTGACCATCATAGAAATTTGAACAAGTTAAAAAAACACATATTGCTCTGGCTCAGGCCACTGCTTACCTGTAGGAAGCTCTGAAGGACTCTTCTGGCCCATGTGGAGGAGGAGCCATGCCTCCTGGCCATATCTTGTTCTGCCCATTCCCACTTAACAGGCAAGCACAGAGTACCTGCTGTCACAAATGATCCAGCCCTACCTGCAGCACATAAGCAGCATAAAGCTGGCTGGTCTACCTGCATCTTTGACTAGCCAGCCCTTTGTAAAGTGATGATGCTGGGTGGGGCACTGATCTCACTACCCAGGCCTCTTTTGGCAAATTGTTCTGGCATCACACAATGGTAGGAGGATGTAAAGTCCCAAATGGAAATTCTGTAGTTCAGGAGCTGTGGCTACTGCATGAATAAAGCAGAAAGATTTTGAAATTGTAAAAAACACGTTGCAAAACTGCTCTTCTCAGCACTTTCCATCTGATGACATCAAAATACCTAACTAAAACCAATGAATTTACACAAACTCCTGTGAGACAGGCAAGCATTAGCTTCCCTTTTTCAGATGAAGAAACTGAGATACAGGATAATTAAGTTCCTTATCTGCTTTTTTTTTTTTTTTTTTAAATCAGTAGAAAAACTTTCCGTGACACCAAACCTTTAATGATGGGCCCAATGTCATGCTGGAAATCTGTGACAGGAAGGCCATCAAGAAAACCCCTGATCTTCACAATTCTAGCAGAGGGGGGAGCACAAACCACTGGCTGCATTGAGGTGGGGAGATCACCTGAAACCTCAGCCTCCCCTAATACAGGAACTCCACAGTGAGGCTGTACCTGATGCTAACACAGTGTAAGGGCTGGCCCTGCCCCTCTATGCCAGGAGTATCAGGTGTGGCTGTACAGGCTCAGCTCAACATGAGCTATGGAGGGGGTTATTGTGGGAGGATCTGGGTGTGGGGCAGTCTGGGTGTGGGTACCTCTGTGGGCAATCTTGATGCACAGGGGCTCATTGGGGGTTCAGGTATAGGGGCAATGGGATTCTGGTTGAGCTCAGTGGAGAAGTTGGGGGAGGTAGGGCTTGGTATGGAGTCCAAGAGCTGGGGAAGTGATAATGTAGGGTATCCAGGTGCAGCTTGCTGGAGCTCATCTGGGTGTGGGGCAGTCTGGGTGTGGGTACCTCTGTGGGCAATCTTGATGCACAGGGGCTCATTGGGGGTTCAGGTATAGGGGCAATGGGATTCTGGTTGAGCTCAGTGGAGAAGTTGGGGGAGGTAGGGCTTGGTATGGAGTCCAAGAGCTGGGGAAGTGATAATGTAGGGTATCCAGGTGCAGCTTGCTGGAGCTCATTTGCAGGCTTGCTAGGGAGCCCCAGCTGCTGCTGAGGGGACACTGCATGTGAGACTTCTGCCCCTCCCCCCGATTCTTCATCCCCTTTTTTTTCTCCATCCCCTCTTTTCATTCTCCTCACTCTCCATTCCTTCTCCACTGCCTCTTCCCCCTATGTCCTCCCACTTCTCTCATTCCCACCCCTCCACTCCCCACCCTGTGCACTGCACTGCAGGACACAGAATACAGGAAGCATGTGGAGAGAGGACAAGAAGGGGAGGAGATTGAGCAGCTATCTCTGCAGGGCTTGTTGGGCCCCCACTACTCCACATACTAGCGAGAGGGAGGGACTATGGGGAGCATGTGTGGGGAGAGGGCAAGGGGAGAAGAGCCCCTACCAGCAGGCTCAGTAGCAACTGTTCTGGAAAAGTGAAATCAAACCCATCACCACTTCACCCACTAGCAAAAGTGGGGAACCAACTGAGCAGAGAGAGTGCAAAGGAGGAGAAGGGGGAACATCAAGGAGGAAGCCCACCTTGCCTACCCTGTGCCAAGGTTCAGGGCGGGGGTGCTGGAGTGGATCAGAGGCTGATCAGGAGAAGAAACTGGCAAGCAAGAAGCAGCAGCAGCAGCAGGCATGCAGCAGGCTGGGTGGGGTGGTCACTGCAGAGCAGGGCTAGCAATCCTCCAGTAACTGGAGAAATTAATGTAATTGCAGGCTGCTACAGCATCAGGGAGAGCCTATGTGACTGTAATTCAAGCCTTGTATCTGTTCCATGCAGGTTCAGGGGAGGGCTTCTGGAACATACCTGATCCCCACTAAACATTCCACAGCAACCCCACATGGCAGTTGGAGGCTGGGAGGGGTGAGGCTGGCCAGTATGACTCCAGCTTTGGATAGGCTGAGTCTCTTTTTGCCTTACAGACCAGATGGGAGTTCTAATTGCCCGTGAATGGGAGTTCTAATTGCACATAGTATCCTGGGGAAACAAAAGAAAGGACTATGTAGCACTTTAAAGACTAACAACCATCTTGTTAGTCTTTAAAGTGCTGCATAATCCTTTCTTTTGTTTCAGCTAGACCAGACTAACACGACTACATCTCTATTACTGTAGTATCGTGGGGTGCTAGAACAATTTTTATAGTAGGGATACTGAGAGCTGTTGTACCAGACTGGAAACCCTGTGTAGAATGGAAACAACTTAAAGCCAGAGGATGCTGCAGCACCCCCCACATCCCTAGTTCCAGCACCTGTGATAGTATTTGAAAGAAGAATTAGGTCCTAGGTTTTAGTCACTTTGATAGGAAATGCTGTGGTATAGTAATACCACAGCGCTGGGAGAGTCACTTAACAAGGGTAATGAGTGAATAAACACAACCAAAGATTTCTCTTTGCTCCATTTTGGCACCATCTTCTGGTGTTGAACACACTTATGAACCTCCCAGTGAAGGACTCTTTCAAGGATTCAGAAGCAGATTTGGGCAATATTGCCCATCTTTCATAGAAACTAGAATTTTAATGAGACAACAAATTAACAGAACCTGAATATTCATGTCTGTGGGTCCAGTTCTACAGACACTTAAACACATGAAGTAATTTTAAAGTTACTGACATGTAGACTTTCTAGATTTGGATGTATGAGACTAACTTTGTCTCATAAATTCTTTTGAGACCATGGCTGTGTCTAGACTGGCCAGTTTTTCCGGAAAATCAGCCGCTTTTCCAGAAAAACTTGCCAGCTGTCTACACTGGCTGCTTGAATTTCCGCAAAAGCACTGACTTCCTACTATAGGAAATGAGTGCTTCTTGTGGAAATACTATTCTGCTCCTGTTTAGGCAAAAGTCCCTTTTGCGCAAAGCTTTTGCGCAAAAGGGCCAGTGTAGACAGCTGAGATTTGTTTTCCGCAAAAAAGCCCTGATCACGAAAATGGTGATCGGGGCTTTTTTGCGGAAAAGCGTCTGTGCCAATCTCAACGCGCTTTGCTGCAAAAAGTGCTTTTGCGGAAAAGCATCCATGCCAATCTAGATGCTCTGTTCCGAAAATGCTTTTAACGGAAAACTTTTCCGTTAAAAGCATTTCTGGAAAATCATGCCAATCTAGACGCAGCCCAATCTAGACGCAGTTAATACAATAGGTATGTTTTTTCATGGAAATTTTATTCACAATATTTATCCTCTGTTTAAAAGAATTTAACTCATGGAACTGGCTTTAACATTGTCTTGGATACAATTCCTTCAATGATGAATGCATTAAGAATGGTGTGGATTATCTCACGGCATTACAACAAGGATGAGCGGATGATTCCCCTCATGGAAAGAATTGCATGGGAAATTACAGCAAGAATCTGCAAAGTTGTGGATTTACGTACTTTGTTTAAGTAAGCAGTAGATTCTAATTTAACTAGGTTATAAGTGTTAATAGCTTTGATTATCTTACAGTAAGCATGATAGATGCCAATCTTATCAAGCGTGTTTTGCGTATTTTCAGGAACTTAGCTTATATTTAGCAAATTTAAAGGTAAATGAGAAGTTCACTATATATACTCTCATATATTATTGAAGAAGCTTTAAAGATGGGAATATGGTTTGTCTTTTGATATGGACTGTTATAGTACCTTTATTGAAATCAGTGGAGTTCCAGTTATACAAATATGATGTAAGGCTATCAGAATCAGCCCTGAAATTTTTCTTCCTTTTGAACTTTTCAAAAACCTGTGTCATATAATGCTCTTGAGGGCGAGATAGTAGTGTGAAATTTTCAGTTTTAACTAGATATAATTAAAATAGAAGACTTTATTGAACCAAGATATTCTAGCTCAATGAAAGTGTAACTTCATATTAAACCTTTAATGGGTGTTGTCAGTCTTCTAACTGCTTCATTTTGTTTGACAGAGAAGATAGAAGCATTACAAAAACTAAATTGGTGGAAGCCAAAGGCACTCTTGAAATATGGAAAAAATCCTATTTTGATACTCGTGCCCAAATTGAAGCCTCGGGAAGAGAGCAACGATGGGAATTTGACCGAAAACGTCTATTTGAAAAAACAGATTATATGACTTCAATATGTCAAGATCTATATGATATTGTGCAGGTAGCAATGTGTGTGGTCTTACATAGAAGGATTATATATCTAGATATCCCCCAGCTGTGAGAGATAGTTTTGCACTGTAGTGTATTTGCTGAATTGAATGAGATATTAGTGACCTTTAAGAAATTTGCTAATGGGCTCACCTGGCAGATTCTACGTAATACTGTAGAAATGGAGATCTCCTGCCTCCAACAGGACTCTGTGCACTTTTTCTAATATACATAGGCTACAGAGAAGGGTGGTTTCTTCCTACTTGAGTACTTATTATCTGATCTTGGAATATCATTGTCTTAGACCTCAGTGTGGGTCACGTAAATCAGAGGAAAAGGATCAAACTGGAGAAGGAAGTTCAAAATAAATACAATTATGAGGATTTAATAATTATCAATCTGAGTCTTCAGTGGAATCCAAATGGATAGGTTTTGATGCCTGCAGTCTCATTGGTTTCTATAGGATTGTGAGGGCATACAGGGCTGCTGACCAGTATCCGTTATAGAAATCATAGAATAATAGAACTTGAAAAATCTGTGAGAGATCATCAAGTCCAGTCCCCTGCCCTCATGGCAGGACCAAGTACGGTCCATATAATCCCTTATAGATGTCTATCCAACCTGCGCTTAAATATCTCCACAACCTCCCTAGGCGATTTATTCCAGCGTTTAACCACCCTGACGGTTAGGAAGTTTTTTCTAATATCCAGCCTAAACCTCCCTTGATGCAGTTTATGGTCAATCTCTGCAGGACCAGAAACGGATACTGATGTTAATCCAAATTGGTCTCTTTATTTGGAAATGAATAGTATGATTCATTACTAAAAGTATTCATTATTGTATTATCATTAAAATAATTTAAGTATTTAAAAAGGGCTTGTATTTTAAATGTGTGCTTTTAACACTGAAGAATAAATATGCTGTTCTAAAAATAAATTCACAGACATTAGAGGAATAATTATCCAAAATTTCACTTAAACCTTTCAGAAATTTCTGAATGGTCTTAATTTGAGGCAATGGCTAGGACTGTATGTGTGTGTGTAGTTAAGCATTTGCTTAAGTCTTCTCAGGATCAGAGCACTGTCTGGAAAAGATATATTGTAATAGGTTTACATTATTGATAACTCTATACGTCTTTAAAACAATCAAATATTCTTCAAGGAGTGTCCCTGTGGGTGCTCCACTGTTCTTATAATCAGAACTTTTAGTGGAAGTATCCCCTCGGATGCTGGCATGTGTACATGGCACTGCTCGCTCTGCTGTGAAAGTGCTGATGAACATGTGCCATCAGCCGTCCTTCATTTCTTTCTCAACCACTCCAGACTTGGTTGGAACCCCGTAGCTCTCAGAGTTCTTTGCTTAGATAGTGTTAGTTAGTTAATTGGTTATTAGTGTTATAGTTTTTCTCCCTAGTTGTTGGTGTCTTCCCTTTTCCTTTTTTTTTTATTTCTCCTTGTTTTCCCTAGTCTTTCTAAGTTAATAGTAAAATGGTTATGCCAGGCTGTCCGGGATTTAAGAGATGCCTGGCTTGCAGGATGTCCATCCCAATATCGTATGGACATGCCCAATGCATCCAGTTCTTGGGTCAGGAGCATTCTCCGAAAAGCTGCCCCCATTGTAAGAAGCTGTCTTCCAGATCCCTTAAAGCCAGGGAGCTACAGTTTAAGCCCCTCACCAAGGAGAAGACTGATTGCCTTTTACCTGGAGAGAACAAAGCAGTTTAGACACTCCTCCAGACTGTTTATTTCCATAACAGATCACTCCATAGGGCAGGTCATCTCTAAACTAAGACTTTAAAAATGAGTAACAAATTGTATAACAATATGTTATAAGATCAGTGGGGTTTCACTACGAAGTGAGTTGAGCAATGGCCTCTCACAATGTGCCCATCATGGACATTTGTAGGGCTGCAACATGGGCCTCTACATAACTTTATAAAACTCTGTGCGTGCAATAGATACTTACACTGCACAGTGTGTTAGGTTTGGGATGGCGGTCCTTTTGCCATTTCACCGATCTGGTCTAAAGCCCCTTCTTCCAGATTTTCAGGGTAGTGCTCCAGTCATCTGCAGTGGAGCACCCATAGGGACACTCCTCAGAGAAGAAAAGAGAGGTTACTCATCTTCTACAGTAAGGTAAATCTTTTAATAATAAATATAAATGTTTGTGAATGAGACTTTTTCATCAGAAAGTATATCTTGAGGGAAGAGAAAAGATGTAAACTTTGTAGTAACTAGCAGT